AACTAAATGACACAAGCAAAATAAAGTGCTGTGAACAGAAAACACACAATTACCACCCCCCATATGTGTTAACTGTAATTCCTGTTGCTGTTATAACCGGTTTGAAATGTGCCTCTTCTCACCCAATTAAACACTAGATTCCTGAGTGTCAGTGACCATGACCACATGAACCCTGATCTGTCACCTGAATAAATCAGATCAAGAGACATTAGAAAGTCTCTAAGGCTCATAGGAATCTTTTTACAGCAGAGGATATAACCCTCATGAAGTCCTACATGAAGTCAATCACCATGCGCCCTGTCTCCCACTCATCTCATTTCTGACATGCATCCATGCAAAGTTCTCACAACCATTTGCAGGTACCTGTAGGAAAGCGTTCATCATACTAGTATTTGTAGTAACCAGGTATTGGAGACAATTGTATGTGTCCTTCATGAGTTGGAATGGGTAGTTAAATATTCTTAGGTTGGCTTCTCCTAAAACTTGATGGTCAAATGAAAATTTCATTCAGTAGCATATTGCAAGTGACTACGGGAAGTAACAATATGCCTAGTTAGGGAAGTGAGATGGCACAGTTGAGAGTCCATGAGGGTGTCCTACGCAGGTTTCTGTGGACATGGGACCTCAACACCAGTGGAGAACATGGGGAGGTAGTGCTGCCTCTGCCCTAGAGTTACCCACGTGTGCAGGTAGAACATGGGGGTATTTATTCCCCAATCCGAATCATGCTAGGCTTAGTGTGCCCACCACATTAAGTCGCAGGCCCCTCCAGCCTGCCTAGCAGAGGCCCAGAGGAAGCCGTCAGGTTAAGAATCCTAAATTAGTGCAGTGGGACTTCAGGGCATTATTGAACAGAACAATTGTTGCAAAGGGGACTAAAGGTAATGTTTATGTCATGAAAATAGTTTTAAAAACTTAGAGAAAAAGGCATAATAAATAGCAAGACTTACGCACCAATATCATTAATGTATATTAAAAACACTAGAAGAAAGCCACACTATATATTTACACCCCCTCCTAAACATGAGCATATTTCAGGCACATTGCACTGTACATTGGGTGACGTGGTAAAATAGAGTGCAAAAGGAGTAAAAACAAACTCATGAACCACATACAACTGAGGAATACAGGGTGTCAAATCTGGGGAGATGATTTTAACCATCCATCTTCTTTTGTCTCCTCTCAGTATATGGGTCTAATTTGTTAGACTTCTTAAAAACACTCACATACCTCATCATAGATAGAGCTTGTTCAGGTTCCCTAGAACAGGATTGTGTCAAATACAAGGTCACACCCCTCACACTCACAATTTGAGATACATATACATAAACACATGTATCTTTTTCAAATAAGAGATCTGATTGAAAGGTGCCTAAGAAGGAGGTGAGCCCCCTCAACTACATTTCCCAGAAGTCTCAGGGTGTCTCTGGGGGCGGACACTTTGGGAAGCCAGTGAGGACACTTCCTGTGCTTGTCCTATGAGTGGCAGGACTTGGTTCCTGGTTTGGGGTCCCAGTGGAGATCGGTGAGTTCCTTGTTTATCCTTTGAAATTGGGGTTCATATGGGTTCAGGAGTCTAGCTACTGTACCACACCTGGATTTCAAGACCTAATATTACTCGCAAGTTTGGAATGCTGTGCTATCCTACTATTCAGCAAAGTGCTGAGGTCTGCAGCCTGATGGACACAGCCTGGGCTAAGGTCACAGCCACAGCACACCCCAGCTGTGAGGACTTGAGCAGGTCACTTAGTGTCTCTAAAATGCATTTTCTCCAGCAATAAAGTGGAGCTAAAACATGCTTCCTTAAAGGGTTATTGTGTGGATTCAAAATGCATATTTCAAATGTTTTTGAGTGTGTAGTATGTGTTTTGAAAAGTGGGTTTCATTCTGGAATGATTATTATAGTGATTTCTGCTTCCTCTGATCGGCATTGGATGTGTCTGAGGGACCCAGTTAGTCCTCAGGTGATAAGTTCACCACAAGTTCTAATCTTCCTGCTCATGGGGAATTCCCTATGGATCTCCAAAATGCAGAGGGGAGGCCTGCTGTTTGGTCTGCAAAGATTAGGGGGCGACCATGGTATTGGCAGGAGACAGTGGTCAAGGGCTCTAGGAATCAGGAGCTTCTCTGAGGCAGATTGAGGGAAACTGACCAAGCACAGCTGTGTGGAATCCAGGGGTGAGGAGCAGTCTAGGGGAACCCTGGAGCCAGGGGCCCTGTGGCCCCCACTCTGGTGCCACTGCCCATTCTGCACAGGGCCACAACTACAGCCGCCTGGTGGTTCTTTTTTGATAAACTGCTCTTTTCCTTCGGAGAACCCTCATTTTAGTCTCTCATTCACAAAACATCTGACCCCACCCTCTCTCACCCTACAGGAACTTGCTAACTGACAACTATTCAGCTGCATGCTGTCCAGAAATTTATTTTACCTGGCCTATGTAGGCTTAACAACTTTAGAGACAACTTTATGAACGGCATATTTCACTTATGATTCTGGGGATTAGCTTCTCCCAAGGAGAGCAAACAAAAAATGTAAACCACTCCAGTTTCCTGCTTCCTTGGGCTCAGTTCAAATGACGCCAGCTGAAATCGCTGTTTTCCCACAGATGTGCTATCTGGGCTGGCCCACACCTTGGTACTTAAGCACTTCTGAGGGATGGTGTGGGTAGAGCTGATTCAGCAAATTATTTTGCATCCAGAAAAAACGCTAGGTTGAACTCTTGTCCCTGGGGTGGTCTGGGTTGTAGCGCCCTTGCAGGGCCTCAGAGACAAAAGACCAGGAAGGGGGAGGAAGGGAGGGAGAGGAAATGATATAAGTACGCACACAGAAAGAAGAGAGGGGCAAAACATTCCTCAAAATTCTTCTATTCAACTCCTCAGTGCTATTCCATGGTATCAACCCTTTAGAATAGATAACAGATACTGAGAAAAGTACATGAACACAAGTGTTCAAAGCAGCACTGTTTACAACAGGCACTGGTAAAAACCAACCGACTGTCCATAAGGAAAGAAGAGATACGGCACAGTATAAATGAACCTTGAACATGCTATCCTAAGTTAAAGGAGCCATTCACAAAGAGACCTGTTCTATGATTCCGTTTTGAATACAGTGTGCTTTGCCCAGCCTGCCATTCCCTTAATGCCTTGGTAATATAAATTCTCATGTCAGGTTAAAAACCAAAAGCGCAGATCTCAAGTCTTCTTGTCATGCTACAGATGCCTCTTTTACCCTCTCCTTTCCTAATAAACCTGTCCTTCTACAATATAAAACAAAACTATGTGATAAAAACAAAGCCATCACCTGTCTGCCTCGTCCCCACCCAGCTCCCGCTCACTCGGCTGCAGTCACACTGGCTGCCCTGACCTTCCTTGGACCTGGGCAGGGCCATTTCAGACCCTTCCCCTTTCTGTCCCTTCTGCCTAGAGGGTTGGTTCATTTTTCACATTCAGTGAGGCTATATTTGACTACTTTATATTTGTCTCTCAAGCTCTCTTTATAGCCCTGACACATTCTTTCACCTTTTCCTCAGACCACTGATTATCATGTAAGATATTTCATGTTTAACTTCTTTATTTGTTTTGTTATGTGTATTATCCCAATCCCTGCAAAAATGTAGATTTTTGAGGACAAGGAAGAACTAATCAGTAGCTAATAATTAGTGGATTATCAGCAGATATTTACTGAAAGAATCATTATATTAATGAATAAGTGAATATAAATCTTTGAGTAGGGAACTAGCTTGGACCGGTAAGTTCCAGCCAAGGAGAACTGTGTGGGGTGAGTATCATGAATGCAACATACTCTGTTTATTAATGCTCCTGTTTAGAAATTTCAAACTCTTGTATATGATGCCCATTGAAATCTCTTTATTTCATCACCAGAAAACCACAGGTAAGCAATTTATCGTATTAACTATCACTTAATCTGCATTCCCAACTTCTTTTAAAATGTGAATGATGTACTCACTTTTCTCTATTAGATGATTATGTCAACTGTTGCATGTGAAAACTATTCATACAATGAAAATGCTACACAAAAGAAGTGTGTCCACTGATATTTATAAATGTTGTGTATAGCTATACATTGAAAATACATTGTTATATTTAAGACATGCTTCAGTCATCACAGATCTACTCAAAAAAAGTCAAGTACAAAAGTCACATTATTTATTTATTTGCTTTCCTTGTTTTAGGGAATCATGGACATTGAGGCATATTTTGAAAGAATTGGTTATAAGAACTCCACGCACAAATTGGACTTGGAAACACTGACTGACATTTTTCAGCACCAGATCCGAGCCGTTCCCTTTGAGAACCTCAACATTCATTGTGGAGAAACCATGGAGCTGGGCTTGGAGGCCACTTTTGATCAGGTTGTGAGGAAGAATCGGGGTGGGTGGTGTCTGCAGGTGAATCTTCTCCTCCACTGGGTCCTGACCACGATCGGTTTTGAGATCACAATGTTGGGAGGGAAAGTTTACAACACTTCAGCCAGCAAATACAGTACTGGCATGACTCACCTCTTGCTGAAAGTGACCATTGACAGCAGGAACTACATCGTCGATGCTGGGTTTGGGAGTTCTTACCAGATGTGGCAGCCTCTGGAGTTAGTTTCTGGGAAGGATCAGCCTCAGGTGCCTTGTGTCTTTCGCCTGACAGAAGAGAATGGAATCTGGTACCTGGACCAAATCAGAAGAGAGCAGTGCATTCCAAACCAAGACTTTCTAAATTCTGATCATTTGGAAAAGAGGAAATACCGCAAAATCTACTTCTTTACTCTTGAACCTAGAACAATTAAAGACTTTGAATCTGCAAATGAATTCCTGCAAACACATGCAGCATCTGAGTTTTTAAAGGAGTCAATTTGTTCCTTGCAGACCCTCGATGGGGTGTATTGCTTACTGGGTTTTACTCTGGCTTATAGGAAATTCAGTTATAAGGACAATATGGATCTGGTAGAATTTAAGACACTGAATGAGCAAGAAATAGAAGAAGAGTTGAAAAATGTATTTAATATTTCCTTGGAGGGAAAGTTTGTGCCCAAACAAATTCATCAGTATTTTACTATTTAAAGAACAAAAAAAGTTAACTATTCTTTCAGGTACTGAAACCCTTTAATATGGAAAATTTCAAACATTTTAAATCCAAGGAAACTACAATAATGAGCTCCTATGTATTCCTAACCTAATTCACAATTCTTGATTATTTTAAAGAAAATTAGAAAAGATTAAAAATTACGACTCCACCATGAAAAAAATTTCAGATGTATATATTTCAGTATATAGAAACTAATGAAAATTTTCTTTAAACAGCATAATCATACACATTATCAATAATAAAAACAATAAAGGCATTTTAAGAATGTCTTGGTGTTTTGTAGGAATCTTGCTCATTTATATTAGAAAGCCTGGAATACTGGGTGAGTTTTGAATTAATATAGAATGCTCCTAAATAAAAATGTAGAAAATCATTCCATTAAACTCAACTGCAATTATTCCATATCTCATATTTACAAATACTGCAGGATAACTTTGTGACTGAAATTCAACAAATCAGAAAAAGTTATGATACTTTTGTTTCTAAATAACCTCTTAGAACATAGGAAGAAACTATAACTAACATATTTTAATGTATGAACCTTTAGCTATAATTTTGCAAACATAAGACTTTTTTTTCTAAATACCTCTGATCTCATAATACTTAAAAATTAAATCATCTTCCTAAAGTAGCATATAAGATAATGATTTTAAACCAATCAATTGTTATCTGGACACTCCATTGTTATAAACAATCATTGCAAAACTTAAATAACTTCTGCATTTCCCTTTATAAAATATATGACTCTAAATTCCTCAGAAATTCTTTTCTACTTTCACTTTGAGATCTCCAAGTTTGTGTACTCTTCTTTATATGCTCTGTAAATTAACATTTTTAAAAAATTTCATGTTACTTTATTTTGGCAGTGCAAACAATGACACTACTAAATATTTGTTTCACATTTTTTTGTTTGTTTTTCCTCCTTACCCTGGAACATCTCTTCTCTCAGTACTGAATGTGAGGCCTACTCAGCAGTGGCAAAAGTCCAACCCAAAAGATGAATGACCAGGAAGTTAATGACAAAGGAAGGCATCTTGGGCTAGAGTGGAATGTGTGATGACAGGAAAGTGGGAGAGCAGGCGAGGCCCACAGTGCGGCCATGGTGACTGACTGCTGACTCCCTTCCCCTGCTCTGCTGCCGGTGTCTCTACCTCAGCTTAACAGCCTGATAAATGCTTGCATGTAACCCTTGGTCTAGGGCTATGATCTCTGGAGCAACGCT